TCCCAAGTCCTGGGATTACAGGTACGCACCGCCATGCCTAGCTGGGATGCACATTTACCTTTCCTTCTTCTGTCTGTGGACTTCGTGAGTTCGTGGGCAAAAGCCTTAGAGAGTGAGCAGGAGGGCTGAGCTGTGGGTAGAGAGCAAGCATGGGTTTTTTCTTTTCTTTTTTTCTTTTCTGCACTCCTTTTCCACACTGCCTCCTGAGCCCTTCATAAACACCGACCTGGCTGAGTAAGACCTGCCTCCGTCCAAGAGTGGCAGAGGGAACAGCAGACACATCGTTGGCGTGGGAACCACTCAGCCCACAGGAAGTCAACTGAAATGAGACTTTTCCCTGTGCGTGGCCCTTGTAGGTTTCCGGTCTGGGGAGAACACATGAGCCAGGCCGCCATGCACAGGCGCAGACTGGAGGGCCCCTCCACCCAGCCAGCAGGTGGATCCTCACGTTGTGTTCGTCCGGGGGCACCATGCTAGGCAGCAGGAGTTCCGAACACAGGGGACCTGTCACGGCCTTTGAGTGGCTTGCTGCCCAGCTGGCATAGAACATACTTTTGAAGCATGAGCAGCCCTGAGGAGGATAATTAGCCACCAAGCAAGGCTGCATCAGCCCCTGCTTCCTGTCCTCCAGGGTGAGGACGGTCGTCACAGAGGCTTTGTGTTGCCGAGGCACTCAGGCAGCCCCAACGCACTGTGCCCTAGGAGCTGCCTGGTGCTGGGACTGGGCTCTCAAGAGCCACTGGTGGGGCAGGCGGTAAGCAGAAGGTAGAGGAGACAGTGCTGGCGCTGGCACCTTGATTTTGAGAAGATTTCTTACCTTTTTTTTCCTAATATTATTATGGGAAATATGGAGACATATGGGCTAAACTGTGCAGTGAGGACACAGAGCTCCCTGCTCCAACCACAAGTGCAGTGATCAGACCTGACAGAGGTCTCGCAGCATGCCATTTGCCTCTTTTTATTTCCTAAATAAAGAACTAAAAGATTAGCACAAGATAGGCATGGTGGCCCTCATCTGCAATCCCGACACTTGGGAAGCTGAGGCAGGAGGATCACTGAGTTTGAGGCCAGCTTTGGGCTATTAATGATTTTCAGCCCTAGACTGTGTAACCAGATCCAGTCTCAAAACACCTCCCGCTAAAAAAGGATTAGCACAAAAACTTCCCCACTTTTTTTTTTTTTTTTTGCCTTTTTGAGACAGGGTCTTGCCGTGCAGTTCTGGTTGGACTTGAGCTCACTTTGTAGCCCAGGCTGGTCTTGAACTCACAATGATCCTCCTGCCTCAACTTCCTGAGTGTTGGGATTACAGGCGTGTGCCACCATGCCCGGCAGCTTTCCCGCTATTGAGCAACTGTTAAAAGTTACGCCCCAGTCATGTTCATGCGCTTTCTGCCTAATACATACACAGTACACACATAATTTGTTTTTGCCAAATCAGTCGAAAGTAAGTTGCAGATGACATGACATTTCACTCCTAAAAGCTTCAGGCATCTCCAAGAAATAAAAACTCTCTCATATCTAAGAAATACTATTCTCATGCCTAGGAAAATAAACAATAAAACGAATAAATATCATCTAATATGCAGTCCATTTTAAGTTTCCCACTATGGCTTTTTTCATCCAAGTTTCAATTAAGGTTCACATATGTGTCTGATTACTATGTCTTTTTAGTCCAAACCTAAAACAGTCCCTGTCTTTTTTGCCTGTCACCAGAGTGTCTGTCTATCTCTCTCTCTGTCTTTTCTAGTACTGGGAATTGAACCAGGGCTTCATGTGTACACTAGGCAAGTGCTCTACTACGGAGGTCCGTGCCCAGCCGGACTTATTTTTCTGAAGAGACCGGGCTGTCTTGTAGAATCTGCCTCACGACGATCTGCTGTGTCCTCATTATTAGATCTGGGTCAAACACTTTCGGCAAGGATGAGCCAAGGACTGGCATTCTGAACTTCTTGCCTCCTATCAGGAGGTGAGTGGTCTCACAGAGTCCTACTGCTGCCAATGGGACTTGTAACCCTAAGCCGGTGGGCACCAGACCTCTCCCTTAGGGACACATTTTCCCTTTGGTAATTACTAAGTCATCAGTGGGACACACTGAGGCCTTGTTTATTTATTTATTTATTTATTTATTTTTTCTTTTTTTTTTTGGTTTTTCTCCAGTACCAGGAACCGAACTCACGACCTTGCACATGCCAGGCAGGCGCTTTGCCGCTGAGCTAAATCCCCAGCCCTTGAGGCCTTGTTTAATACTCAGTTTCCTAACAATCCGCCAGCCCCAAGGTTCCACATCCCCCAGGGATCCTTGCTTACATCTAGAGTTTTCTAGACCTATCATTTCTTCTACATTTATCAGCCGGCATTTTTCTGTAGAGAAAAGCTTCCTTTCTACCCCTTCTAATTCCCTATTGGAGTCTCACAGTGGACTAATGGATTGTATTTTAATTTGATGCATTAGAATCCATTATTTCATTTTGCCATTCCATGTTCGAAGTGGCCAGAAAGCTGATTCTTATGTCCTTTTGACTCAACCCCCCCCCTTTTTTTTTTTTGTCTTTCTGGCACAACAAAATGCTTTCTGTACTGTGCCCTTTCCCTTTCCTTTGCATTCTCCAAGGAGTCCTGGTTCCTTTCACTGGAGGGTGGTGTGTGGAAACCGAGATCAGGGTGCTGTGTCTCCCTGCTCATTATTTTTATCAATGACTTGTATAAAGACAGAAGGAATGCTTAATCAAATTTACAGATGACTCAAAACTGGGAGGGGAAGCCAAATGTATAATAGAACCAATACTCTGAATGACAGAACCAGAATTCAGGGAGAGAATTATGAAGTCCCGGGCTAGGTTAAAAAAGTTCATTGTAGGGGCTGGGGATTTAGCTCCAGCAGCACAGCGCCTGCCTGGCAAGCGTGAGGTCATGAGTTTGATTCCTGGTATCAGAAAAAAAAAAAACCCTCAAAAAAGAAAAAAGTTCATTGCGTAACTTCAGGTTTAGGGAAAAGAAATCTTTACTTACTCGAAGTTGGTATCAAAGTAGTTTTGGTTGTTGGTTAACATGAGTCAACAATAGTCTGTGTCTCTTAGGTAACATTCATTGATTCATTTATTCACCTAGTATTTGTTTTGTTTGTTTTGTTTCGTCTTTTTGAGACAGGGTCTCACTACCCAGTTCAGACTGGCCTTGAGCTCACTTTGTAGACCAGGCTGGTCTCGAATTCGAAATGATCCTCCTGCCTCAGCCTCCCGAGTGCGGGATTACAGGCGTGTGCCACCATGCCCTGCTCACTCAGTATTTGTTGAAGGCCTGCCTACCATGTGTCAGGCACCTTTCTAGATGCTTGGAATGTTAACAAATCCAACAAACACACATCCCTGCCCTCCCTACCATCTTTTGCTCTCCCTGAGATGGGAGAGAGCATCTCAGGACCCTTGGGGGTTTGTTTTGTGGTACTAGGGATTCACACTCAGCTACATCTCCAGCTCCCTTTTTAATTTTTTAAGACAGCATCTCACTGAATAACTAAAATGCCCTGGGTAGGATCCTCCTGCCTCAGCCTCCCTGAATACTGAGATTAACAGGTGTGCACCACTGTGCCCAGCTCATTCAAGGGTTTTGAGCAAAGAAGAGCCATGACCTGACTTTCACTTTTACCTTTGTCTTTTTGAGACAGGGTTTCACTATGCTTTCACTAGGCTGGCCGTGAACTCACTTTGTAGCCCAGGTTGGCCTCAAACTCACAGCGATCCTCCTGCCTCAGCCTCCCAAATGCTGGGATTACAGGTGTGGACTTTTAAAACCTCACTGTGGCTGATGTGCTGAAAAAGATTATATAGAGCAGGGGAGGAAGCAAGGAGACCAGTTAGTAAGGCTCTTGGAGTAACCAAGAGAGATGGGGCCTGGGGTGGCAGTAAGTAATCAGAATGTGGATTTGCTAGTGGATTGGATGTGAGGAGTGAGAGAAAAGACAGGAGTTAAGGTTTTAAGCCCGAGCAACTGAAAGATAGAGTTACCATTAGATGAGAGGGGGGAGGCTACAGCTGGAGCCTCTTTTTTGGGGGAAAAGGGAGTGATCAGGAGCTTCCTTTGGGCTATGTTGGGTGAGCTGCCTGTCAGCCAACTAGAAATGTTGAGGCCCTGGAAATTCAGAACAGAGCAGAGGTGCAGGCTATGGAAAGACCGGGAACACCTTTGGCTCTAGATGCACTGGCTCCATTAATAGAGGTAAAGCAGCCAAGACCCGGGCAATGGGGGACCTATAGGTGCTGGGTGCCGCAAGAGGGGTGCTGGGAGCAGGCTCAGGGTCCACAGAAGGTCTTGGGGAGGTGGGGCTTCACAGATCGGGAGGGCCACGGCTGCAGGAAACAGGAGGACCCCCGCCTGAGGGCCCTGCCCACTCTGTGATGGCCACCTGCGGTGGGACAGGATGTGGCAGACCCAGGGGGTGGGGAGGACAGGAAAGGAGTGGCTCTGAGGACAGCGATTTTGGCCCGGGCTGCAGAGAAGCTGGCCTGTCGCTGCGGCCAATTCCTGGAGAAGTGATCCCCACTGCCGCGGAAGTGACTGCTGGAGGTTGTCAGGCTCCATTTGGCTGTAGCTACAGGAGAAATTACACCTTACTGTAAAATCCTGCGCACTCAGGAAAAGCTGAGACAGGTTTCCGCGAAGCCACTTATCTTGCGATCGGAGCACTCCACTATCCGGCTAGGTCTTGTGTTTTGTAATGCTAATGGAGCTCCAGCTCATTTACCTCAGAAACCCCCCAAAGGGTCAAGTCGACAGTTGGGAAGCCCCGGGGGCCAGCAGAGCTGAGCTCCTGAGCGGGGACCTAGCCTTCGAGGGTCCTGTCCCCCGCCAGGCCACGTGTGGGCTGTGGAGAAGGACTCGGTCCCTTGGCAGCGCAGTACGTTAAATCCTATTATCCCACTTGAGCTAATTTTGCCCCGCCTCCGGGCCTTCGCGTGCTCTGCTTCGCGTGGTCAGAATTGTAAGCGTGGGCAACCCCGCAGGGGACCTGGCCTAAGTGCCAGCGCGCAGCGCACGCCGAGCCAAGACCTGCGGTGGACCGACCCGCGCGGAGACCGACTCGCACGCCGCGGGCCGAGCGCCTGCAGCTCCGCCGAGTGCAGCCGTCCCAGACAGGTGGGTGCCAGGGGCGTGCACGGGGAGGGGACGAAAGGAGGGAGACGAGGCCTGACCTTCCCCCAGGCCGCCGTTCCCAGACGGGGTGGTGGAGGGGCCTCAGGGGGCCCGGCCCGGGGCGGTGGGAGGGTCCGGGAGGTGCCTCCCCCCTCCACCCCGCCGCCCCGTTCGGGAGCGCCCCGAGCTGGCTGCACCTAGCGGGCGCCCCGCGGGCTTCCAGCGCCCGGGAAGGAGCAGGGGGAAGGGGTGGGTCGGCCGCAGCGAGCCGGGAGCGGGAGGCCGTGACTCCTTCTCCCCTCGCTTGCTGGGCCCCGTGCTCGTCTGGCCGTGGGCGCGCTCGGCCCGAGCACTGCGCTCCGGGGACCCGGACCCGCGCCCG